GCAACCATATGCTCAGACAAAGGCATGGAGACCAGGTACCAAAACCAGAAGAAAAATGTACCCCAGTCTTCATAGACACAATCACTGTTTATGATATTTGGCTACAGAGGCAGTTTACCAGAGGATAAATGCTACTGAGTAGAGATTACTAGAGAGAGCCATTTAGCAGAAAGTAAAAACCCCTGGGAAGGAGGAACTGCAGAGATGAGCTACCCCCAAAATTCACCAATTCACCTTCTTGGAGTTTTTGCTACAGGTGCTGCAGTCTGTGTGTGGCCACTCAAAAATGACCTGGCCAAGATGCGGCTGTCTGAGGGTCCAGCACTGCCTGATGTGACACAGGACAGGGCTTCCCTACGCCTCAGAACAGGCCGTGCCTTGGGGTTTGTGCTACAGGCCCAAAGGAGCAGCAATCCTGCCCTGCAGCCACAGGAGCAGGGGGTGCCCAGTGCCGGCCATGCTTTGGGACTTGTGTTACAGACCCAAACGAGCAGCGATCCTGCCCTGCAGCCACGGGAGCAGGGGGTGCCCAGTGCCGGCCATGCTTTGGGGTTTGTGTTACAGACCCCAAGGAGCAGCGATCCTGCCCTGCAGCCATGGGAGCGGTCCCCAGTGCCGGCCGTGCCTTGGGGTTTGTGTTACAGACCCAAAGCAGCAGCGATCCTGCCCGGCAGCCACGGGAGCGGTGGGTGCCCAGTGCCGGCCGTGCCCGCTGCCTTAAGGAGGCCTCGAGCTTCGCGCCCGGGCCTGAGCTGCTGTTGTTGCTCTGCACCTCCCTCGAATCCCCCTAAGCCAACACCCTTCGCTAAGACCGAAAAACATTTTCCAGACGTGAGCATGTGTACGTGTGTGGGTGGGTGGGGTGCAGGGGACTATGAAAATTTCAAGGCGAGGTATGACATCCTGGCTTTCTAAATATAGAGGACCTGAGCTGCGGCTTCTCTCACACGCTAGCAGCGTGCTTTCTCTTTCGAAAGGGCCCCAGAGCAAATATTGCACTGGCTGGGAGCGTGAAAAAAGGAAAAAAAAAATTAGAAAAAAATTAGCCCAGCGAGTTGATTGCAGCTCCCGGCGTTGTTGCGCAGGGTTGTTGTTTAGGCAGAGCTCCAAGCGGTGCCCACGCAGCGGCGGCCGGGCCAGCGAGGCGCAGATGGCCGTCACATGAGGGCTGGTGGCAGCCCCAGCGTGGGGCCGGGCCTGGCCGTGCTTCCCCTTCGCCCACAGCCCCCGGCCCCGCCGTGGCAGCAGGGCAGGGACGGATCACAGGCCCTGGCGGGGATGAGAATGTGACATTTTGGCTCCCCGGGAGGCGCCGCGTCTCGGTTCCCTTTTCGCTGCCGTTGTTGTTGCTTCGGCATTTGCATAGCACGACATCAAAATGCCTGAGAGCCTGAGGAAAGGGGCGGCTGCTGCTGCTGCTTCTCCTTTTAAAATCCCGAGCAGTTATCCATGCAACACCATCACTCTGTGTGTGTTCGGGGTGGAGGAGCAGACATGACAGCAGAGGGTTATGGCCTTTGGAAAAGTTCTGCAGAACTGAATTTAATCGAGACTGATGATCTCTAAGCCAAGCTATAAAATCCAGCGGAGAGTTATATCCCAGTAATAGACCCTATTAGAGGGTCTAGCACAGTCTATAGAAAGGATCTCCTCTCTATTAAATTCTCTAGGGCTTGAGTTCTCATTTACACAAAGGGCCCTTTTAGCTGTGTAAAATGGCCATGAAGTAGGTGTAAAGATGATTGATGCCGTCTTTACAACCCCTTTACACTGGGAAAACAGTGTAAAGTGGCCGGGGTGCAAATGAGAATCACACCTGGGTTTGTGAGAGTAAATTACATCGAGCTCTTCGAGCTCTTCGCAAATTCTGTGTCCATAGAGGTTTAATCCTACCCGTTTCTGTGGAATTCACCTACAAGATAAATTTCCCAGGCTTATAAAAAATTGTTTTCTTCTTCAACACCTCTGTCCTTTCCAAGCCTTGTAGTCCCAGTCTTTCTCCTGGTGCAGTCCACGTGGAGTCTGACACTGGGAAAAGGCTGGGAGGTGTCTGGATATGCTGTGGTAGGTGAAAATCCTTTAATTAATACCTTCCAAAATTCTCAATCAAAGCAAAATACACATTGTAAAACCATACCCAGGGGGAAACCAGTTCCTAAACCTTCTGTGTCTGTTTCTCCACCTCTCCTGTTTTGATTTTATGCTCTTGAGATACATGAAAAGGAAATAAAGAAGTTCATCTTTGCTAGATCGAAATGCCCCATATTTATTCATTAAGCATATAAACCACCAACAGAATACATGATGAATATTGCTTTCTTCCAGAGCAAAGGGTTAAGCTGCATTGTGCTGATTAGCAAACCGAATTCGTGGCTGGAAGCGGAGGGCGAGCTGATACGGAGGTGCAGAGCTTGTTAAGTGGAGCAGGCTCTGTTATCCAGACCTCGCTTCTCCTCCCTGCCCACACGCCGAAGGCATTCACAGCAGCTCTGTGATCATCCCCGCTGTGCCTGCCGTGCCCCAGAGCAGCCCCAGCCAATCTCAGCCCCGGGGTGAGCGGGCAGAGCCCAGGCACCACAGCCCAGCCCCATCCTCAGCACCTGGAGGTGATGGGAGACCCGGTGAGAACGTGTGGGTGAGGCACAGGTCAGGGGATCAAGGAGACAAAGGGCAGCTCTGCTGGACATGCTGGTGGGCCAGGATGGAGTGCTGCACACCAAGCTATCCCCTGAGCAAAGGGACATTTGGGATGGGTGGGGGGAAGCATGCCCTGCTCTGCCAGCACAGCCTTCCTCTTGCTGTGCCAGCCATCGTGCAATGGTGAGGGTGGGGGGAGGCCCCAGAGCTCAGCTGTCATTCAGGCTCCCTTTGATCCCTTTCCTGCTCCTTGTTGTCTTCTGTGTGGAGAGAGGAACCCACAATCTTGGCTGGAGAGAGGGGCAGGAGCACTGAGGGACATGCAGGTAGGAGGAAGGTACATCCTCTGCCCTGAGCTTCACAGAGAGCGGGGCCGGAGCGTGTGTGGGATGGGGGACACACCTGAGCACAGCACAAGGTGAGAGGCACCCCTGTGTACCCATCTCCAGACAGCATGGCCCTGCCACAGAGTGATGGTGTTGCAGGTCTGCGAGCACTGCTGGCAGCACGTTCCTCCAGAGCCATGGGAGATGGGCTGGATCCTGCCAGATCCATATGGATGGCCCCAGGGATGAGTCTGATACCACCAGCCTGCCATCCCGGTCCTCTCCTGTCTCAGCTTGCCCCAGCAGGGCCTGGGAGGCAGACTGAGGTCTTTGGATGGGTGGTGACATGGGCACCCTTGCAAATGTGCCCTGCAGCCAGGCTTAGGAGTGGTTGTTACTTTTAGGTGCAATAAAAAAGATCATTTGGAAGCAGGTCTCAAAACCCTTCATGTCCTGCAGCTCCTCGCTTTGTGGCTTGGCAGAGAGCACCTTGGTGATGCTATGTCTGCTCCAGAGGCACTTTCCATGACTGAAACTACAGCCCCTACACCCAGCAGTGCTCTAGGTGGGCCACAGGAGGCTTCACTACACTGTGATATCCTGACCCTGGAGGCTTGATGGTCTAGCCCCTGGATGATGTGTGATCACCATATGGAAGACAGTTTTTTTGTAGGATTAGAGCTCCTTAGACAGCTAGGTTTGTGCCAGTCTGGGTTTTTGACTTTTTGATGACTGTTTTTGCTGCATAAACTTGGCTGTTTTTTTTTTCTTTAAAGCCTTATATAAATTTCATTTGCTTCCTCCTAGCTAGTGATTATGGCACAATTTTTCTGCCATGTGATTGCTCCACCCCACCTCCGAGACATCCTTGTTCTGGCTGGGATCGGGAAATCCCTCGTCATGGCAGGGTGTGAGCACCAGCTGGCTTGCCCTTGCACAGATATGGATCAGGAGGCAGTGCCAAATGCTGCCAATTAGGAATTGCTCCTAAATTTAGCTGTCCATGCTGTGCAAGTGGAAATGGCAGTTCAAGGGACAAACCAACGTAGTTGTCTCGGTATAAGGCTAAAGAGATGTAAAGTACTTCTAGAGCTGCACTTTCAGGGTGAAAAAGCACTGCTTAAATACACTTTGTTTTTCCATCCTCATTAAGAAATTATTATTCTGTTGCCCTCATCATTATCAGAGATGTCTTTGGGAGACTGGCAGTCTCTTCTTGCTTCCCTCCCTCCACCCCATTTTAAAAACATTCATTGTTGCAGGGATATATCTTTCAGGGCTGTTGGCCCAACTCCACTCTTGGTGTGTAAGGCTGATTGTCTTCAGAGGAGTTACACCAAAAATGCATTTGGCCTTTTGTGCTGGAAGTATAATTGGTGGAACTGGCTAAAATCCGGGTTTGTCAGCCTGCAATTAGAGCATTATGGACATAGTTTTCAACATGACTACTGATTCAGGGTCCCTCTACTTTAGGAGTGCAACTCAAGGTTCCTTAAACTGATCTTTTCTCCCAAACACCAGAAATCTGCCTGGGATTTCAAGCAGGCCCTGCCAAAGAACCTTCAGTGAACTCACTCATATTTGTTGTTTATTAGTAATTGGGTTAGGTAGCCTAAATCATTATTCACTTAGAAAAGTTACATGTATATTTTATATGGCAGCCATCAATATATTCACTTTGGTGTTGGTCTCAACCTGCATTGGAAGAGATCTTGACCTCCCTCGTCCCTACCTGAATGTTAAATTCCCATCAGGTTAGCATGGATTACACCCTGAGCACCGAGACATGATATATTCCCAAAGCATGTTCCCACTGATATAATTAAGCAGTTTGGATCAGATCCTTATCTGGTAGAAATTGGCATAGGTTCTCTGAAGGCAAGAGGGAAATGGACCCTATTTTGTAATGGCTGTAGCCCTGCAGATGAGTTCCCAAAGAGTTTATCCATGGCTATGACAGATCCTCTGCGGGGAGCATTTGTACAGCTGCATCTTTAGGACTCTGTGACCTCTAGCAAATCTCACAAGAGGCCTTTTCTCAAGAGCAGCCGTACAAAATGCTCCCAAAAGGATTGAAAAATAAATTCATTAAATCCATGTGAGCGTATTTCCTCATCAAACACCTTCCAAGGGCCCATCCCTTTGCAGTGCCTGTGGTGGCAGATCCCATCCCTGGCCACAAGCCCCTGCCAGCCCAGCCCAGCCCAGCCCAGCCCCTACACTTGCTGCCCGTGGCCCTCAGTGGCTGTGAGGGGCTGGAAGCGAACGCCCACGTAGAAGACCTGGTAGCGGTGCTTCCACACCACGAAGCACATGAGCAGGCACACCAGGGCTGCCACCAGGTTGAGAGCCATCTGCAGGAGGAGGTACAGGCTGAGCATGCTGCTCAGGCTGCCACAGTCGGCGTCCCGGTACACGAAGGTGCGGCCCAGCGGGTCGGCAGTGTCCAGTTTGCACTGGCAGGAATCCTGGATGGTGTCACAGGTGAACTTGGTCAGCTGCAAGTAGTGGTGTGCAGCAAAAGCCACTGCCAAAACACAGGCAACCAGAGCCAGGGCGCTCAGGAGAAAATACAGCAGCTGAAAGAAAGGGGGGAAAAAAAGAGATAAACCCCCTTTTCCCAGCTTCATAGAGATTGAGGAACTCACAAGGAATGCAGCACATGTACTTTGCAGGGAACACATATCCTCAGTGTACTGTCTGGAGATTGGCTGCTTCAGCAAGCAAGGCTCCTTGTGATGAGCAGTTCAGCAGGTCATCTCAAGAACTTGCCTTGCATGTTTTATATGAGCATTGCCTTGCAATTTGGAGTCCTGGGGAGAGCACCAAGGAACTGGTGTGTCTATACATCAAGAAGCTTTCTAGAGAGGGAGGGAGCATTTTCCTCTCCAGTCGTACCTGCATTGACAGGAGCCACAGTCATCAGCTGAGACAAATTAGTGCCTGGAAGCAGAGCTGAGCAGATGAGCCTTGGGCTGCCATCTTACCTCAGGCTGTGCTGAGCTCTAGGTGTTTTTGAGGCTTTGCTCATGCGTTATTCTCAGTTTGCATGTCCAAACAAATCTGATTTAAACTTGCAAATCAGGCCGTGGGGTGGCTGATCTCTCACTTTAGACCCTGTGGATGCAGCCAGCCTTTTGCTTCCCAGGTCTCACTGTGGAATGGGAATGCAGATCTCCACAGAAAAAGTGTGTGCTGTGCTCAGTCTGCTTCCAAAACCTGTCCCCTAAACATGGGGAAGTCTTTCACAGGCATGAAAGGGCAGCAAGCACCTTTCTTTTCCCAGTGCTACAGAGTGAGAAGGACAAGGGTCTGCTCGTCACCTCCACTGCTCCTCACAGCAGTGGCAGCTTAAAAATAGCGTGGCTTTTATCAAGGGTAGCTCTGCAGAGTCCACCCCCACAAACACATGGAAACTGGCAGCAAGTCAGAGCCTTTGACACTCTGGGATTCACCTGAGAGCTTTGGATACCAGCACATATGGGCTTCCCTTTGCTTTTGGTAGCTGGAATTGGCTGTTGCTGCACTGCGTACAAAATATGTGTGAATGTATATTAAAATCATGTTCTGTGTTTAGCCAAAATTGCATTTTTTGGTTCTGTTCAGCACTGTAAAAACATTTATTTTCCTTGGCGTCTTATCTGTCAGACACATGGCATGGTTGGGAATCTGTTATTTTAAACAGCAGCTTCTCTCTCTCTTTCTCTCTCTTAACCTCAATTCTGCAAGCAAAATATCAATATAAAAGCTTTTTTTTTGACCTTGAAACTCCAACTATGTATGTCTTGATAAAATTCACACTCCTGGTGAATTTATCTTAGAACTACACTGTGAATCAATTTTCTGTTTGGTTGCCAGCTTGAAAAAAAATATTTGGGATTATTGCAGGTCCTGAAGCACTATGTACATTTTCCCCCTCATATCACCAAATTCTTACTGAAAGATCTTACTTTCCAAGACCTGGCTGCTATTAAATTTAATTACTTCCCATGTGGCCTTAAACCAAGGGCAGCTTCAAAATGAGGGTGGCTCTTATTAAATGCAATTACTTTGCCCCCACAGCTTTCAAGGGAAGGGTCCATGGGAAAGGTGAAGCTGGAAAATGGGGCCACCTCCTCATATGAAGCATACAGAAGATGGAGTGCTGCTGACCGATGGACCCCCTCCAAACCAAGGTGTGGTAATTCATAAGCCAATGGCATTGTTTTCAAAGATGGGGAAAACAGAAAATGGACAAATGTTGGTTGTTCTGTGATATAGAAGTCCTGGTGGAAGTCCCTGGATTCAGCCCAGCAGAAGACAGAATCAGGCCTCCCTAATAGATGGGATACTAAGCCAAGACTGCACCATGTGCCTGATTCTCCCTTGGCAGGCATTTTATTTAGCTAACAACTTCTATCCAAAGTCAGAACACAACAGCCCAGTCTATGCTCCAGGTACAGTAAGGGAGAATTTGTCTGTTGTGTTCCTAAAGGGAAGGAGATCTCAGAATATGAATACACAGGCAGCTCTTATGATAATCCTTGGAGGCAAAGGGAGATGCATGGGGGACTCAGGGCAATTTCCAAAAAGCTTATTATTCTCACAAGATGTTTGCAGAGGAATCTCTCTGCGAGCTGCTGAAAATGAACACGTTCCCAAATATCAAAGGTGAGCCAAATGCAAGCACTGCCTCTGAGGGAGCACAAGACAGTGAGTGCTGAGATTCCATCAGCAGATTAATCACATGCCAGACCTGGAGGCAACTGCAGCATCACAAATACAACTGTGTGGTGGGCTCTGCCCAGGAACCAGGACTTGTCACTGGAAAACTGGTTGTTAACAGCTTCAGAGAGACAAGCACTGCAATTGCTGCTTAAATAGAAGGAGAAAAAGGAAGTGGAGAGAGACAGTGCACAGTGACCTCAGAGCATGGCAGCTCATCCTCCTTCGTGCTCCACATATGAGGAAGAGACATTTTAGCAACATTTACTGGCAATAGTTGTCCTCCATGACTAAATTGAAATAAATAACAGGAAGATGGATTAAGTTCCTCATGGAAAAGGCTGCTCATAGTTATCAGAGGTGAAAGCAGAGGGGTTTGCAGAGGTGGATCAGGAGAGGCCCCTTTTGAGGGCGGTGGTGCTCAGGCATGAGCCCCTGCAGGGAACAGGAACCATGGTGTGTCACGGCGTGGGGTGGGCGTGCGGGAGCAGAGGGTGTCACTGCCCCGGGCTGCAGGGAGGGATCTGTCAAATGTCAGCCCAGGAGCTCCAAGGATGGCTCAAGACTTCCCTGTGTGGCACTCACTGGCTGTTGCTGTCCCCCTGAAGGGCACAGCCACCCTCTCTTTGGGTGGCCTCCCTTTCTCAGGGACACATGGCGTGCTGCGGGTACCCACAGCAGTCTCGGGAAGGGACTTCTGCCGAAAGCAGTTCTGACACCTCCTTCTTTAACAGGATCCAGGGCTCATGCAAGTGTGAAATGAAAGAAGCAGCTGCTGAGAGGGAGGAAGGCAGAGAGGACTGCACAGGTCTCCTCCTGTTTTCCACCATGAGGGAGTCACTCACCAGTGGTCAGAGGGTCATCTTGGGGATGACCCAAGTCCCCCAGGCCTCTGTGTGTGTGTGTGTGGTCCTCCTCTCGCAGTGATCCTTGGGCTGTGCAAGGGAACTTGGGGTGCTCAATGCACTCCAGGGAAGTTCAGCATGGATTTTCCTGCAGGATGCTGCTTGCCTGATGGGAACCAGCTATCAGTGTGAGGGCAGGACCTGGGCCACACCTGGTAAGGATGGTCAGAGTCAATCTGGCTGAACCTACTTGCAGGGCTTGATGAAGCTTCAGGCCCTCAAGGAGAAAAGAACAACCCTCTGAACAATGTCTCATGACTGCAGTCTTGCATCCTCAGCCTTGTCATAGCTAATGCTTGTTTTTAGTTCAGAGAGAGCCTTTAACTGAAATTCAAAGATTTGAGAAGTGATACTGGAGATGTAGATGAGTCTTATGTGATCGAAGTCCTGGAGAAGAGTTTTAGCTCCTACTTTGTTAAAATAGGTATGAGCCCTTCAGACAGAAGCTTTTTTTTTTTTTTGGTCCTGTTATCCCAAACTGTGGGACAGGAGAGGTGAACAGCCTGGGAATGATGAAGTTCTGTGGCATGCTGCAATAGGAAATGCTGGGAAGGGGGATTTTGAGGAGGATAGTGGCTTGGGTAAGCAACAGTCCATGGGCTATTGACTGAACCAGGGAGATTTAAGCTCTAATTCTGCCAGGTGATGAGGAATGGCCCATTTTTCATCACCTCGGGAGCAATTCCAAAATGTCTGTTTTCCTACGGGGAACGATGGCTCACATTCCTTACCGTCAGGGTGGGTGGCAGACACATCTGAGCTGCCCAGCCCGACATGCCCTTCCCAACACCAGGGATGACTCCCTTCCTGCCTGCATGCCAAATTCAATTTACTGCTGCGGGGCAGGCAGTAAAAAGCCTGGCGTGGCAGCCCCCGCCCAGCCCAGTAACCTTCCTTGGGGGCAGAAAGGTGACAAGGGACAATGTGGAGGCAGCCACAGGGCAGGCACAATTGTTCTTCTCCCTTTTTTTCTTTAAGTACAGGAGAAGCTCGAGAAAGACACAAAAGACACACCGGGGTCTAATTTCTAAGGGAGGATGGATGCCAGGGTTTGAAAAGCTGCTCCTTGCATTTTGTTTCCTTCTGCCTGTTTCCAGTTAATAATCACTGTTATTTTGTGCTGCTTGCGTCGGTATTTTTCTCTGTTATTATGTGTCTGCAAAATATTAAGAGCCCTGAAAATTACAATAATAAGGAAAAATAGCCCAGGAGAAATGGTGTTAAAAACAAGCGTTCTCAGCCTTGCTCTTCTAGTTGCTCACCAGTGTCAGCAAAGCAGTTTTGGAGACAAAGGTGGGGTATGGTGCAGTTCCTGTAATGCTCAGATGGGAATTTGCTTTGTGGGAGAATGCACGTCCCTGTGCTTTCCCAGTACTTTCCCATTAAATATTAAACGTTGGTTTAAGTGGACTCATTTTATGCCACCTTACTTCTTATGCCACTCACTATCTCCACTTAATCTACTTAAACTCTCTGAACACTTCCCAAATTATTCCAGCTTTGTCTATATTCCTAAAACATGGTGAATAAAATGGTATCTTGTTCTGATTTGAAATGTTATTAGAGTTTCCCCTTTATAGGATATAGTTTCTTCCTTGGCTGCCTGGGAAGTAACAGAAAACCATTCCTGCATTTCAGGTGCATTTTCACTTCTTTTCCTGTGGTCTTAAAAATATCCCCTGTACCAACTTTTAAAATTGCATTTAATGACATGAGAATTAAAAAAAAAGCTTAAAAAATATTCAGGTACCTTCACTGTGAACTGTGCACATGTCTTCTCATCAGGCTGGTACGAGATACAAAGCAGAACAAATCCCACTAAGGCCACCACACAGACCTGCAAGGGAAGAGATGTAAAATGTGTCAAGGTTAAAAATACACTACAAAACACAATTTTTTTCCCCCCCAAGCCAAGACACCTTTCTGTGTTTGCAGGACCATAATTCAAGAAGCAGTGTGGAAGCAAAGTCATCAAAGACACAGCACAGCAACAGCCCTCAGGATGTGTGTTGAGTTTTTGCCCACACAACCATCAAAAAAGAGCAGAAGGTTTCTGAAGCTGGGCTTGCAAGCCCAAAGATCACCATCCTATGTAGCTCTGGGTGCTGACAGGGTTTTTATGTCACCCATGCAAGTTTTAAATCATTAAACCATGGCTGCCACTGGGTAAGAACAGCAGAGTTTACTGCAGAGGCTTTCACCCTCTTTTGGAGTAGACACCTTACTGAAGAAGATATCTATCTCCCCTGCAATCTGAAACTGTGTTTTAGCCCTGTGACAGTAATTGCTGAAGATTAAACATAATGGAAAAGTATTTGCATACTTGTTTATTAATTTAGCCATGTTTATTATTATTTCTGGATTTATCTGCAGGAGCAGGTACTCACAGGTTGGCATTTTCCAGGTAAGAAGGGAATATCCTCCTCTGAGCAACAACCAATGAATGTGACTTGCTTTTTTGTGTTTAGAAAACACAATGTGTCCCCACACTGTGCTAAGCACTCCAGTCAAGTGTTCTCCTCTCCCACTTTTTGGAGGATCAGTGAGCAAACCTGACAGGAGGACTTAGGAGCAGCAGAGTGCTGGTTTTGGCAGTTCATCCCCTGGATGGAGGAGCTGGGTACCAGGCACCAGGTGAGGGCTCCCTGTGGGGCTGGATCTGGGCTTGAGAGAGACTGTTGGCAGCTGGAGCTGTGTTTGGAGGAATCTGCGCATGTTTGAGCTGCCTTGGAAAAACAGGTCAGTTGATGGCATCCACATGTTTTTAAATGACCCTTCAAATCACACCTTCAGAAGCGATTTTAGGTGTGATGAGCCTTAGTGGGGACTTTGGATGAGATCAGGCACTGTCTTTTCAGAGGTCCTCCCTACATGGAGGGCCAGGAGCAAGTTCGTGCCTCCCTGCTAGGAGCATCTTGGTTATAAATGACAGCTGTTAAATTCTCAGTGACTGCAGCAAAATTCTGTATTTTTTTACCCTCTCCATTTTACTTCTGAAGTTTGGAAGAGTTGTCATTAATTTGAGGCTTTCTGCTTTCCCAGAGCAGTGGGATTTGCCCTGTTTGGTCAGAGCCACATGTGAGCTGCCTTTGCCAAGGTGGGGCCAAGCCATGGAAATGCCTGCAGGAGTGTGGGGCTCCATCACAGCCCCATCCCCACCTGCATGCCCTGGAAGTGCTGCTCACATCCAGATTTCCAGCTCCACAGGGACCTTGACCTGCAGTGAAAAATGCCCAGCTGTCCTTTTGGACAGTAATGGATAAACACATTCCTTTTATCATCTGTTGCAGAAAGAGTATCAAACTTTTTGCACCTGCATTGTTGGTGCAAGGCCCAAGCAGCAGCCCTGGAAAGGAGAAGTACCTCCCAACACACACAGAGCCATGTCCCTCCAGAACCTGGGCAATTAGTAACACTTTTCCCCATGAAGTTTTATTTCATGTCATTTCAGTGGGACATGAATAGGAAGTGTTGCCCGAGAACATTTCTAAAGAATGCGTCAGTATTATTTACTCCTTTCTATGTCATGTGTATTTATATTCTGGTCCTGTGACTTACACACGGCCTCCAATTTATTTGTTTCTTTCTTTTTATTGTTGACAGCCATAGCTGACAGGGTTGTCTGGGGAAAAAACAACCTTTCTTGTCAAAGGTCCTTCAGTGCTGGGGTTTTTTTTCCCTGTAGTGCTTCTGTATGACTGAACCATGTTTTATTTCTCAGGATTAATCGCCTATGTCCTTGGTCCCTTGCACCATATATTAATCTTTTAATTCAATTAACATGCCCATAAAACTTAAATCATAAGAAATTCTATTGCTGATAATATCCAAATGATAAACTCCCCCAGTGCCAGTAATGGCTGAAGGAGAGAACCTGCAGCAAGAACTAAAAAAGAAATAAGCTTAAACACACTGTCTTAACATCATATCCCCAAAATTCATGACAAATCATAGGGGCTCCTCACATCAAAGCTGGACCTAAGTATTTTCAGGATCTGGTGCTGAAGGATCTTGTTGTGAGCAATAAATCAAATTTGCTTTGCTTCAGCTACACTAGTGGGCATTTACACTTGCATGGACCGAGAGCCAGATTTGCCTCCAGGTGACTGCCATGAGACATCATGGGACTGTTCCCATTCCTCCTTCCCCTTCCATTTAACCACAGAGGGCTGACAGGGCTGCATTCATTTCCGAGAGCAGAGACCAATGCTGGAATTTTCTCTCTGCCATCAAGTGCCTCAGACAACTTTTGCAAAAACTCCTGCTGGCTTCACACATGGCAGGATCAGACCTCCCTCTTCAGAAAACTTCCCATACAAAGGGCTATCACTTAAAAGCAGCTCCATTCCTGCACATGCTTTCTACAGGTCCTCTGGGATTTAAATAATATACTCAGGGACACTTGAAGAGGCACATTTGTAGAGAGGTATTTCTAAAGGATTACACTGGGTCAGGATTCCGGCAAGTCTTGGCCAGGATATTTCAGAAAGCTTAAGCATTTCTTTTATAAGAACACAGTAACATTTTAATTTTTTTTTTTTTTAACCAGAGATGTGTGTTTTTCTAAGTGGCAGTAAAAAATAACGTGGCTGAGAATTATGACCCACATATGTTTAACATTTCAGCTCTTTAAAGGTAAATTCACTCCTTGGAGGAAACCAAAGCGTGGAACGTTTATATAGGAAACAGTTCTATGCTGCTATTTTATACATTATTAATAGATCAGCTTTGAATTACACCTGTGAAGTGTAACAGAATAACTATAAAAATCCACTGCTAAGTATTTTTTAGGAGCCTCTAAGTAACTATAACAGCTGCTGGCGTGTTACAGGTGCTGTCGATACTGATTGCTAAGCAGCATTAGGTAATCCCACATCCTGGTGCTGCCACAGCCACTGCCACATCCCAGTGTGAAGCACACATTTCCCATGCCTTATTGACTGAGCACACAACATAAAATGCAATTGAACCCACTTCAGCACGTGCTTGCCACCAATCAATGTGCATTTGTTACACAAATAAAACTGATTCTCTGAGACCTGCAGGATGGCACTTAATTAGATCAGCTCTGGTCAACTGTTACCCAGAAATCCAGGAATTTGCATTTCTGTGCATGTTTCAACTCCAGTTTATTTCAAGATCCTACTTCAAAATTTCCATATGGACTAACACACCCCTTCCTGAATAGGTAGTGACGTGAAAGGTTATCCAAGGGAAGAATTTAATTTTGGAAAGCACTGCTTAGAAAAAGACCCAAATGTGATACAGAAGTATTTAGGAAAGGTAGAGATTTCATTTTGCTTAAGGCACACCCTGTGAAATCCTCCCAGTTCACAACCCAGGAGAACGGCTATTTACTAACACTGGCTGAAGAATTTAAATATTTAGGCTATACAAAATTTTTAATAATATTTCTTTTTGGAGGGAAGCAGTAGGCATTCCTCCCATTGGGCAGGAACACCTCAGGGCTGAAAAGTGACTTAAGAATTGTTGGTTTTTTAAGCCAAAATCAAAACAGGAGGAGAAGTTTTCTAGCTTGCTCCCACTCCAAAGAGGGCAGGAACCTGTTGTCATGCTATCCCATCTGCTCCTGCAAGGATTCAGCACAAGGTGTACGAGGAGCACAAGGACACCCCGTGGCAGGGCTGAGGAAGGTTGGGTGTAATTAGGGGAAATCTGAACACGCAGGGCACAAATTTCCGCTGCGGTTTGCACTCATTATCTTTGCACGCTGACATATTCATGTGGTTTGCTTTATTCTGACAGATTTCAAAACCACAGATTGCTCTAATCTGTCTCCATCTCTCCCCTGTATGCTTGTGAAACTGGCTTTCCTTTTGTTATTGCTACAATTTTAGCCCAAATGTAGAATGGGTGGTTTTCTCTCGCGAAATATCTCCTACCCAGAGCATCTTGAAAACCTTGGCTGGTAAAGCAGGAGGGTTGGGAACATCCACCAAGAAATGAAGGCAGGAGACAAAAACCTGGCTCTAAGGAGCATCCTGGGTCTGTGCCACATCACAAGGCAAATGCTGCAAACGCTCACAAAGGCACAGTACAGCTCTTTGTATGGGGGCTTTGTTTGCAAGAACCTCCTGCCACGATTTTTAGGGGCAGAAAGCAAACACACTGCAGGACAAAACCTCTCCCAGGTACACTTGCAATGCCACACAGCACTTCTGAGACCCACAGGAGGACTCTTCCTATTTAATGAGAATGTAAACTCAAACTTCAGGAGGAAAATTGCTGTTAATAGAATTAGGAAGACAGCTCCATTATGGACAAGTTATTTTGTAGTTGCTCACTTGGAGACACTGGGGATCTCTCTGTTTTTAGGGACACAGGTAAAGAATGTTCTCTTGCAGCTGTCTCTGGAGTTTCTGGCTCTCCCTCATTTGGCTGATGATTCTCCCAGTTTATCAGACACAGCAAGGCTTAGCTCCTGTCTACACCTTTGGAGAAGCTGCTTTATCCCCCAAATCTAACACTCCCACTGGACACAGATTTTGATGCAGGAAAGAACCGGTCCCTGTTGGCTTTGCCAGTATAAACCTGGATCATCTCTGGTGCCAGACATCTCTACAGGCTGCTGCAGACAGCAGCATTGAAGTTCATTGGCTTTATGAGGTTTGAGGAAGCTGTGATGAAAGTGGGTGCTGCAGGCAGCTTCCACTGCCAGCTTTCATCAGCCTCAGGTCAGCCTGGGTCTCACTGTCACGTGTGAAAGAAGCCAGTCTGCAGCACAGAGGTACTGTGCCCTAATTTTTTTTTACCCCTTACAGACTTCTTGTTAAATTTAAGGACAATTTAGTTGCATATAAGTTACTTCCAGAAATA